TTATGTTTTGTTTTGTCAGAGATGAGTGTTCCATTGCAGTTAGAGAAGCCGTGTCTGGAGAAGTCTTGAAAGAACCTTTTCATACTTGTTGCAAGTCCAAAGATTGTAGGTATTTGCATTCAGCAAAATAGCCCAATATAGTCCAATGGTCCTTAATAGTAGTGAGTTATCAGCACAACTGGCAATGATCCAAAGTTGTTGACTTGAGCCTTTTACAGCTCAACATATTAATATGGCATTACTTTTTATACCTTGTGGTTAGACTTTTCTGTTGGATGGTTAAGACCAAATTAAAGCAAGACCTGTATAACTAAAAATATAACTTTTGCTATTTGACACTGTCAGTCAAATCCCCTCAGGATTTACTCTGGAACCATGTACAGCACCTTGTGGATCTTTTCTCAGTGTTAGCTATCTGGATGGGTCATGGCCATTTCTTGATCAATTTGCTTTCTGTGAGAGCCTGAGAAAATTTTTTCTCATTAGGTGACCCTCCTTAGGGACACTATACATCATCAGTCACTTTCCTCTGTGTCCTCATTATCTCCTTAATCAGAAAATTTGGGACACCACTTAGTTACAGGATATCACAGCACAGTTTCTCTTATGTCCTGAGTCCTCACTACCTTGAAAGGCTAGGGCCAAAATATTGGCTATCTTCTTAGCCCATCTATCTCTCTAATTTTTGATTTGCAAACTTTAGTCATTAAACATCCAGAAGAGAAGTTTAATGATATCATTATCCTGTAACAGAGGCAGTTAAGCTTAACATCACTACTTGTCTGAATATCACTTACCTTAGACATAGCATGGAGCTGCTATTTTCCAACAACCACGAATATTCTAAAATTTAAATCCCTATAGAATGCAAAAAAATTACGTATTTTTACACAGAAATTTAGAAATTAAACCATATACAACACTGTACAGGACAATCCTATGACATTTTGTTTTTCTTGTCTCTTGTTTATTTTATTACCTTTTTTAAACAAACATTTACTTTAAGAGTGTATAGCAATAGTTGATATGACATTAGAAGCAGTATACATTTAGAAAACCAAAATGACAGGTATTTTAAGCATTGTTTTAGTATTACACATCGCTATCCACAAGGTAGTTGCTTAGTTCACAGATATCAGCCTATATAGTTAGTCAGGGTGAGAATTCTACTCATTAACTGGTATTTTCAAAAACTTGATGGAAATTCTTAGGACCACTGCCTTAAACATCTTGTTTATATAAACGTATGATTTTGCCTCTACAATATTTTTTAACTTTTCTCCTTTCTCTCTTTTCATTGTTTAATCCTTAAGTTCTCTTTCCATTTAACTGTGTTATACCTTTCAATTTTTATTTCTTCTTTTGAGTTGTTATACTAGGGAGATAATATAATATTTAAACATGTGGGTCTGGTTTATTTCACTCAGGAGTATACCTTCAAGTGGCATCCACTTAAATTTAAAGTCTTTGAGTTTATCGTCCTTTATAGCTGAGTAATACTCCATTGCATAAAAATACCACATCTTTTTCATCCATTCTTCAGGTGAGGGGCATGTTGGTTGTTTCCAAGATTTAGCTATCACAAATTATGCTGCTATAAACATAGATGCACATACATCACTACGATATGATGTTTTCAGTTCTTTTGGGGAAATTCCCAGAAGGGGGACAGCTAGATTGAATGGAATTTCCACTCCTAGTTTTTTGAGGAGTCGCCACACTAATTTCTATAATGGTTGCACAGTCTACATTCCTACCAGCAGTGGAGAAGGGTTTCTTTTTACCTGAAGTCTCTCTAACATTTGTTGTTGCTTGATTTCTTTATGATAGCCATTCTTTCTGGGGTGAGATGGTATGTCATTGTTGTTTTAATTTGCATTTCTCAAATGGCTAGTGATGTGGAACATTTTTTCATGTATTTATTTGCCTCTTGTATTTCTTCCTCTAAGTGTGTGTTCTTCTTAGATGTCCATTTTGGGATTGGGTCTTTAAATTTGGGGGCCCTAATGTTTTTAGTTTTTTATAAATTCTAGATAGAAGACCTTTGTCTGAGTACTTATTAGTTAAGATTTTTTTTCCAAATTTGTGGGTTGTCCTTTCACTCTGTTGATTTCTTTTGACGTGCAGAAACTTCTCAATAAGAGGAGGTCCCAGCTATTAAGTCTTTCTAGTTTTCCTGTGCAGTTTGATTTTTGTTAATGAAATATTTGCCTGTCCTTATGTCTTCAAGATTTCCCTTCTTGGAGATTTAGTGTTTTTATTTTAATGTTTATATTTTTAATTCATTTTGACTTTAATTTAGTGATGGTGATAGACCCTGGTTGTTTTAGTTTTCAGCATACAGAGAGCCATTTTTGCCAGCATCATTTGTTAAAGAGGTTATTTTTCTTCCAGTAAACATGTTTGGCCTCTTTGGCAACAATAAAGTGGCTGAATGTTTGTAGTTGTGTCTTCATCTTTTAATCTGTTCCATTGATCCTCAGCTCCTTTAAAACAACAACAACAACACAACAACAACAACAACAACAACAACAACAAAATACCATACTTTTATCACAGTAGCTTTGTAGTATAATTTCAAGTCAGGGGTTGTGCTGCCTCCTGTCTTCCCTTTGTTGCCCAGGATTGCTTCTGCTATCCTAGGTCTTTTCTAGTTCCAGATGAGTTTTAGGAATATTTTCTGTAGACATGTGAGGTATACTAATGACATTTTAATCAAGATTGCATTGAATCCCTATAAAAATTTGGAGCCATAACCATTTTCACAATATTGATCCTTATCCATGAGCAAGGAATATGTTTCCATTTTCAGATATCTTCTTTAATCTCTTTTCAAAATAGTGTAATTTTCAATGTACAGATATTTTACTTCATTTTGCATATTGCTCTTTATATATTTCTTTTTTTGGATGCTATTGTGAAAGGCATTTCCATAATATTCCTGTGTGTGTTGTGTGTAGAAATGCTATTGATTTTTGAGTGTTGACTTAGTATTCTGCCATGCTACTAAATTTGGTTATTAAATTTTCAAAAACACCGGTAAGTAGTGGCCTTGGTTGTTGGTACTCCTTGTCCAACAGAAATTAAATAATGGGATAGTATAGGAATGATTACTGCAAGAAGAGACAATAGGCAATCATCTTTGTTTCTATAATCATTATTTTCTTCGTGTTAGGCTAGGAAGGAAACAAATGTTTAAATATGTTTGCAGTAGTCATGTTTTTATTTGTCATTTTGCTAATGAAACCTGAGATGGGAAAATACAGTTTCATTTGAAAAAATATTGTTCAGGCGGGTGGCAGATAAATGACTCATGGATATATTTAAAAAAATAAATTTGGTTATTAAATCTACAAATCTAACAGAAGAGAAGTTTCTCTTCTGTTAGATTTGTAGATTTAATAGTAGAATTTTGGGGTCTTCTATGTATTGTATCATGTCATCTGTAAATAATGATTTTACTCTTCTTTTGCAGTCATTTTTTAAAAATATGTCTTTCTTGTCTAATTGATCGGGGTAATGTTTTCAGACCTATATTGAATAGGAGTGGTGTCAGTGGACAACCTCCTCTTTTTCCTGCTTTTAAAATGAAAGCTTTCAATTTTTGTCCATTTAGTATGATCTTGGCTATTGGTTTGTTATATATGGCTTTTTATCAGATTGAGGTAAAGACCATTTATTGCAATTTTCTGTAGGGTTTTAATCATGGATGAGTGTTGGACTTTGTCAAGAGCTTTTTCTGAATCTATTGAGATGATCATGTGATTTTTGTCTTTATTCTACTGATGTTACATATTACATTTACTGACTTGGATATATTGAACCATCCTTGTATTACTGGAATGAATCCTGTTTGGTTGTGGTGTATAATCTTGACAATTCTCTGCATTGTATTTGCTAGCACTTTTTGTGCATTTTTGCATCTATGTTCACTAGGGAGATTGGCTAAATGGTAGAGTAAAGGAGATTTTTGTTCGTAGCTGTTACTTGGTAGAAGGCACCTTGGCTAATTGATGTAGTAGTTTTGCTTTGAGAAAAATCAATAAATTAGCATTTACCTTAAGGTGATAAAACTACAATATAAATCAGGGCCTGTCTACAGGCCTTACAATATTAAGTAAGGCTGTCTACATCTCTACCAAGAGCTATTCTTCCTTGTTGATTAGAAAGCCTCTTTTCTCATGGACTTTCTGGTAGGGATGAATCTCACACATTTATGCTGCTTCTTCCTAAATTGGATGACATTCCCCCAAGAGGGCAGGGACTAGCTCCTCTACTTCCTTCTGTCCTTGCAAGTACCTAGTAAGGTGCCTCCCACCCTTGGGAGATTCATGACTGTCTGATATATTTTTCTCTTTCTCTTGTGAGCTTGGGTAGCAAGGGCTAGTGTTCTTAATGGATAGTCACTTTATTTTTAGACCCTGCATAATGTGTTGAACTATGAGGGAGACAGAGAGAGAGAGAGAGAGAGAGAGAGAGAGAGAGAGAGAGAGAGACACAGAGAGAGACAGAGACAGAGACAGAGAGACAGAGAGAGAGCAGAGAGCAACTTTCCAGGATAAACTATCTTTTAAAAGCCCTGAGCTCAGTGAGCACACGCCCATCCTTTACCCCGCCAGGGCCTACCCAACTCCTTATAGGCTCTTTAGAAAGGTACTTTAACAGGATCTTGGATTGGGGATGATTTCATGGTTTTAAGCCTTGAACCAGAATGTTTACATCTTTAGTCATCTTTTGCTAGCTACAGAAAACCAATTAAAGGGATAAAGAAAAGTCCTAGCCAGCTCTGTACATAACAATACATGCAAATAGGACCAGGCTTAGCCAAAATGGAAACTACTGTTCCTCTTTTAAGGACAACTGCTCAGGTGGTCCTCCATAGCTAGCCAATGTTAAGGACAGCATGAATGAATGAACGGAAAGAAAAAACAGAATGGAATAGATTTAATTTGAAGCTACAAAGACTGCTGGAGAGGCACCGATTGTCATGAACTGCAAACTTTATTGAAAAGGCACAGGAATTGGGAGGTAGTCAAACAGAAACCAAGAAGGAAAAACTGCTGAATGAGATACAGTCTGAAAATTCGATGGCTTCTTCTAGGTAGGTAGAGACATGAAAAAATTTGGAAACTTTGAGCAGTATCATGAGAACAGTAAGCCCATGGGCGCCCACGGAGAACATCTCCAACTTCTGTGTCTCCGCGGCATCCAGGGGTCCTTATTTGCATGGCCAGCTAGGAGCCTGCTTCTGCTGGGTCTGGTGGCAGACCGGGACGCCCTTGCCACCGCCGGAGGAGCCGCCGCCGCCAGAGGAGCCACCTCCGCAGCTGGAGCCGCCTCCGCCCCCAGAGGAGCCGCCGCCGCAGCCGCCGCCCCCGGAGGATCCCCCGCCGCAGCTGGAGCCGCCTCCGGAGTACCCGCCGCAACCGGAACCGCCGCCGGAGGAGCCGCCCCCGCCGCCGCCGGAGCTCTGGCACTGGTAATGCTGGCCGCCGCCGCCGCCTCCAGAGGAGCCTCCGCCACAGCTAGAGCCGCCGCCGCCGCCGCCGCCGCCACAGCTGGAGCCGCCGCCGCCGCCGCCGCCACAGCTCGAGCCGCCGCCTCCAGAGTAGCCGCCGCCGCAACCGGAACCGCCCCCGGAAGAACCGCCGTAGCTCTGGCACTGGTAATGCTGACCAGAGGAGCCGCCGCCCCCAGAGGAGCCTCCGCCACAGCTAGAGCCGCCGCCCCCTGAGTAGCCGCCGCCGCAACCGGAACCGCCCCCGGAGGAGCCGCCGCCGCAACCGGAACCGCCCCCGGAGGAGCCGCCGCCGCCGTAGCTCTGGCACTGGTAATGCTGGCCGCCGCCGCCGCCGCCTCCAGAGGAGCCCCCGCCACAGCCGGAGCCGCCACCTCCAGAGTGGCCGCCGCCGCAACCGGAACCGCCCCCGGAGGAGCCGCCGTAGCTCTGGCACTGGTAAGCCTGACCAGAAGACCCGCCCCCGGAAGAGCCGCCGCCGCCGCCGCCGCCGCAACCCGAGCCGCCTCCGGAGGAACCTCCGCCGTAGCTCTGGCACTGGTAAGTCTGACCAGAAGACCCGCCGCCGCCGCCGGAGGAGCCGCCGCCGCAGCTGTAGCCGCCGCCGGAGGAGCCGCCGCCGCAGCTGTAGCCGCCCCCGGAGGAGCCGCCGCCGCAGCTGGAGCCGCCTCCAGAGTATCCGCCGCAGCTGGAGCCGCCGCCTCCACCGGAGTACTTGCTGCCTCCTCCGGAGCCACCGCCACCTCCACAGCTGGAGCCGCCGCCAGAGTAGCCGCCGCCGCCGCCGCCGCCGC